ACGCATATATTCTCGCTCTAGTTCAAGGTAATATTTGTAAATTATACTATTAAAGTTAAGTTTTCTTGAACAGAACATTTAAATTTAAATGTTCTGTTTGAATTCTCTATTCGATTTTGAATTGCCTGAAGACGACGTACATATTTACATTGAAAGCACTCGCAAGATTAAAATATTTCTTTTAATTCTATTAAAATAAATATATATTCTTTTAAAACTTTTCAAATAAACTTTAAAAAAGTTTTGTTACTAATACTTGAAAGGTTGTTATTAATTATATTATTTTATCAGGAGTTTTTAATATTTAGAACAGGGGTGGCCAACACGAGGCCCGCGGGTCGCATGCGGCCTGCCGGGAGTCATGTTGCCGCCCGCGGAGCTAGGTCAAATGAATGTAAATGTTAACTTTATTGTACATATCATCAAAAGAACATTACGTCATGAGTTATTCATATCATGTATTTTTAAATTATAGCTAAGAGAATTTTGAAATATCTTTTATTTTTGGAAAAATTCATAGATTTTTAGCTATTTCAAATATCCCGCTATATATGTTCTGCTATATATGTTCTGTGGTCTTCGGCGTTTTCGGGCAGCTTGCAATGCTATCGGGCTCATACTTATAACTATTAATACTTTCAGTTTAGCTTGACAAAGTTCCGTGTTATTCTGTAGTTTCGTTATATTATAAAGTGACCACACGTCCCGATTTTGGCGGGACAGTCCTGCTTTTTGGTGGACTGTCTCGTGTCCCGCCGATTTTTAAAAATGTCCCGCTTTTTAGAAAATATCTGCATTTCTTATTTTAAATGTACTGTAAAAATATACAGTGGTACCTCAGGATACAAACGCCCCAGCATACGAAATTTTCAGGATACGACATGAAATTCGAACATATTTTTGCTCCACGATACGAACAAAAACTCACCATACGACGTTACATTAATTCGCATTTTTCATTTGTTTTCCTTACTACAGTTATTTTTTAAATGTATTACTTGGCTTTAATTTGAGTATGTTTTTCGCGTTGGAACGAATTATTTGGTTTAACATGTAATCGTATGGGAAAAGTTGATTCACCTTACGACATTTTCATGATACGATCTCAGTTTCGGAACGGATTAATTTCGTATCCTGAGGTACCACTGTA